GCGCAGAGTGCAAGAATGGATCGCAGTGAACGGCTGCATTGCGAGTGGATCGGGGTGCGGACATCATACTTGCTGGCAGAGTCATCGTGACATGGGTTTTTTTTTGTACGCTCGCTATCCGTCCGGTCCAAAATGGAATTTGCAAGACCCCAGACTGTTGGTCCAGGATCAGCACATCCGGGCCATGCCAGTTTCCTTCGACCTTGTAGAATGCGCCTCGCGACCAGACTCTGGCCTGTGGCACGTCGGGCCGCGCCGACTCAGAAAGTCCGGACGAAGGGAGCGACTCCAGTCCTGAGTCCCTTTTTGCATGCAGCTGAGAAGGAGTCGCGCTGGCGATGTGTGCACCAGAAGGGGTTTCAGGATATATGAGAGAGCGATGATGATAGTATTGAGTCAAGTGAAGCTCTACTAGCGCGGTAGCGTACATGTATGCGCGTGCGCGCGCGCGCACATCACACTCCCCCGCAAATGGCGGATGGAGGAGGCATTCGGACGATCAGAAGGGTAAGGACAATGGTGGCAGCAATTGGGGGAAGGTGTCTACGGAGAAGGTACCTATTGAAAACGTGATTATGGAGAACGATCAACAATCCCAATGCGGGGCATGTGCTGTTCCAGGGTGGAGCGTGCGAGGGCCTTGGTGAAAACGTCGGCAAGTTGTTCCTTTGTGCGGATAGCCACCACGGAGCACTCTTTGCGAGTCACGCTCTCGCGCACCACGTGCTCGTCAATCCTTACGTGACAATTGCGGTAGCTGCTTTTGCCGTTCTTCGCGTTGGAGACCGCCCCTTCATTGTCGCAGAAGAGGGGCGTGGGCGATGCTACAAGATAGGCAAGGCCAATGTCGCTGAGCAGCTCGCGCAGGTGCACGGCTGTGGACGCAGCCGCAGAGAGCTTGATGTATTCTGCCTCGACCGTGGAGCGCGACACGCGTTTTTGTCGTTGTGATACCCAGGAGATAGTATGGCCTCCAAGCTGCGCAAGGTGTCCCGACGTGCTTCGTGAGGTATCCGTGTCGCCAGCAAAGTTGACATCGCAGAAGACCTGGAGCGCTGGCGTGGTACCAGGGCGCGCAGCGTACCAGAGGCCTCTGTTCGCGGTATCCCGAACGTACTCAAGGACGCCGAGCAACGCTTGCCAATGATCAGGGCCAGGTTTGGACGAGTACCTGCTGAGAACTCCCACTGCGTAGGCAATGTCGAGGCGGGACCCAATCATGACCCACATGAGCGAGCCGAGTACCTGGAGGTACGGTTCCTTCACCGGCTCTCCGCTGTGTTGGGAGAACGTTACGTGCGCAGGAAGGGGAGTCCCCGAGTGAGTGCCCTTGTACTGCTGAAAACGTTTGGAGATATCGCGTATGTATGCTTGTTGCGAGATGAGGAGACCCTGTGGCGACCTGGTGAATTGCATGCCAAGGCAGTGGGACGCCTGCCCGATGTCTTTGATCTTGAAGAAACGCCCCAAGTCCGCCTTGACAGCGGCTATGGCCGCGGCAGAGCTGCCGGTGATAAGGGCATCGTCTACATGGATTGCGAGATATGCGTGCGCACCATCCTGTTTGCGGACAAAAACGCACTGATCAATGACCGAACGACGGAAGTGGATGCTTTCAAGTGCGTCGCTAAGGCACTGGAACCAGTCCAGGGCCGATGTACGCAAACCATAGAGCGCTTTGTCAATTTGCAGGACGCTGCCAGGGGCCAGTTCCATGCCTGGCGGGGGGTGCATGTAGACTGCCTGTCCACTGCGCGCGGCGTTCAAGTAAGCGGTGTCGAAGTCGGTTTGGTGGAGCTCCCACCCAAAATGGACAGCCAGCGAGGACAGCAGACGAAAGCTTTTCATGCTAGCTACTGGTGCATAAGTCTCGGCGCTATCGGCAGACTGCTGATCTCCGCGCGCAACCACCCTTGCTTTGTGATGCTCCACTTCACCCTGCGCGTTGCGCTTTGTCTTGAAGACCCACTGCGAGTGGATGACCTGTGCTCCGTCTGGGCAAGGCACTGGAGTCCACGTGGCCGCCTTGGTCTGTGCCTGGAGCTCAGCATCCATGGCAGCCTTCCAGAGTGTAGACGAGGGTGAGGACATGGCCTGACGGTAATTGTTGGGGTCGGTTTCCACTGCAAAGTGCGTGGCGAGGCCATACACAAGCGAGCCGTGGTCGATGCTGTCAAGATCAACGGCTGCGCAGCTGACAAGGTGATCAGGGTCGTTTCCCCGCGGTCGGAAAGTAGGTACCATCCCGTCTGCAGGGCGTGGTGGCGGTGCTCGTCGTGTCGAGCGGCGAGGTGTGCCAGCTCCTGAGGCTGTAGCGGGCTCTGTGGTGGTGAATTCGTCAACCGTGGAGCTTGCGGGGTCTGTTGTGTCAGGGGTAGGTAGTCCAACTGGCGCCTCAAAGGGGAGGGAAGTGGCGGTGTCGCCATCTGGGGGGGGGGACGCTGTCCTCGTCACTTCGGTCCATGTCGTCCTCGGCGGCGGCCTGAAGGAGTGGAAATACATGCTCGACAAAAGCGACGTCCGTGGCTGTGGAGACAGAACGGGTGTCAGGGTCGTACACGTGATATCCCTTTGTGGTGGGATTATACCCACAGAAGACGCGTGGGTCTGCTTTGGCGGCAAGCTTTGTGGTCCCAATGCGCGCCGTAGAGGGGCGGTGGACCCAGACGCGGCAGCCAAAGGTGCGCAGGAGGCTAAGGTCGGCGGTGTCGCGCCCGCCAAAGACCAGATTTGGGATTTGATGCTTGACTGCAGAATGTGGCGTCTTGTTCTTAACAAAGACCACTGTGGAGAGGGCATATTCCCACATGCGGACGGGAAAGTTGCTGCCGCGTAGGATACTGCGCATTGCTTCCAGCAGGGTGCGGTTGACTCGCTCAGCGACCCCATTCTGCTTGGGCGTGTGTGCCACCGTGGTCTGGTGTGTGATTCCAGAGGAGTCAAGGAAGTCCTGCGTGCGGCGCGCTGTTAGACGCGTTGACGATACACACTGCGCATCCCCACGTGAC